AAAATGATTTAGTGTAAAGATTCTACATATTTGCTCCATCTCATCATATAGTGCTAAAAAGCATATATCGTACTATAAAGAATTGGATTGAATACACACGAGATTGTGTGCACGGTGCACCACTCGGCTCCATTCGGGCCGGAAAAAGGACAAGCAAGCAAAACGAACGAACAAACGAGTTGAGCAAATCATCGGTCATCGGACGCCGGCCGCCACTTCACGAGCTGCTCCTCTCCATGAAGTTGAGGAACTCCTGGAAGTCCATCCGGCCGTCCTTGTTTTCTTCAATTTCTCACTCAAGGTCTCAAGCAAACAAAGAGAAATACAAGGCTGTTGCTAATTGTACGACGTGGCTCCAATCTTTCTTCGGAGAATTGAGTATACCGCAACCTCAACAGCAAGTTCTAGTGCTTTACGGTGTGACAACCTCGTTGCAACTTCTTTTTCCGAGGAATCATTGCAACTTACTTCACTGCTAATCCTAAGTTCCATTTGTCTGAGAGAAGGTTTGTACTTGGAGATTGGAGCACCTGATGTTTAAATTGTTGGGGAACGTTGCAGAAAATTAAAATTTTTCCTACGGTTTCACCAAGATCCATCTATGAGCTCATCTAAGCAACGAGTCAAGGGAGAGAGTTTGCATCTACATACCACTTGGAGATCGCGTGCGGAAGCTTGCAAGGTGATGATGTAGTCGTACTCGACGTGATTCGAATCACCGATGACCAAGTGCTGAACGGACAGCACCTTCGCGTTCAACACACGTACGGGACGGGAGACGTATCCTCCTTCTTGATCCAGCAAGGGGGAAGGAGAGGTTGAGGAAGACAGCTCCACCGGCAGCACGACGGCGTGGTGATGGTGGAGAGGCAGTACTCCGACAGGGCTTCGCCAAGCACACAACGGAGGAGGAGAGGTGTTGGGGAGGGGAGGGCTGCGCCTTGGAGGGTGGTGCGGCTGCCCTCCCTTCACCCCTCTATTTATAGGGGGAAGGGAGAAGGGGGCCGGCCCCCTAGAACCCATCTAGGGGGGGTGCGGCGGCCTAGGGGAGAGGGGAGAGGGTGGCTTGCCCCCCAAGCCAAGGGGGGGCGCCCCCTCTAGGGTTCCCCTCAACCCTAGGCGCATGGGCCCAAGGGAGGGAGTGCGGCCAGCCCACCAGGGGCTGGCTCCCTGCCCCACGCAGCCCATGTGGCCCCCCGGGAGGGGTGGCCCCTCCCGGTGGACCCCCGGAACCCTTCCGGTGGCCCCGGTACAATACCGGTATGACCCCGAAACTTCCCGGTGTCCGTTTGACAACTTCCCATATATAAATCTTTACCTCCGGACCCTTTCGGATCTCCTCGTGACGTCCAGGATGCCATCCGGGACTCCGAACAACATTCGGTAGTCACATACTAGTCTTCCTAATAACCCTAGCGTCACCGAACCTTAAGTGTGTAGACCCTACGGGTTCGGGAGACATGCAGACATGACCTAGACGCTCTCAGGTCAATAACCAACAGCGGGATCTGGATACCCATGATGGCTCCCACATGCTCCTTGATGTTGTCATCGGATGAACCACTATGTCGAGGATTTGATCAAACCCTGTATGCAATTCCCTTTGTCAATCGGTACGTTACTTGCCCGAGACTCGATCGTCGGTATCCCAATACCTTGTTCAGTCTCGTTACCGGCAAGTCACTTTACTCGTACCATAATGCATGATCCCGTGTCCAACACCTTGGTCACATTGAGCTCATTATGATGATGCATTACCGAGTGGGCCCAGAGATACCTCTCCGTCATACGGAGTGACAAATCCCAGTCTCGATCCGTGTCAACCCAACAGCTACTTTCGGAGATACCTGTAATGCACCTTTATAGTCACCCAGTTACGTTGTGACGTTTGATACACCCAAGGCACTCTTACGGTATCCGGGAGTTACACGATCTCATGGTCGAAGGAAGAGATACTTGACATTGGCAAAGCTCTAGCAAAACGAACTACACGATCTTTTATGCTATGCTTAGGATTGGGTCTTGTCCATCACATCATTCTCCTAATGATGTGATCCCGTTATCAACGACATCCAATGTCCATAGTCAGGAAACCATGACTATCTGTTGATCACAACGAGCTGGTCAACTAGAGGCTCACCAGGGACATATTGTGGTCTAAGTATTCACACGTGTATTACGATTTCCGGATAATACAGTTATAGCATGAATAAAAGACATTTATCATGAACATTGAAATATAATAATACTTTTATTATTGCCTCTAGGGCATATTTCCAACATAAATTTGTATCTTAAATTATAGCCTTGTGTCTATGAACAGGGATTGAGGGACAATGTGTATGGTATGCCATATCCCGCGTAGCATGCTTCAATAGATATTGTGGGATAAAGTTTTAGTCCAAACTCATTTCAATTATGTGCGATGTAAATAGAGCGGCAAAGACAATTCATTTGTTGAGTGGGATGTTGTTGAAGGAAATACGTTAGGTTGTTGGAATTTTCACCATTACCAAAAGGTAGTACATATATGTTCTGCATAAGCCAACAAAAAGAAGGCAACAACTTTAGTCATACGATGAAAAAGGAGACCAGAATTTTATAAACAAAAAAAGGTGCCGTGGTGGACGAGTTCTATTTTCACGGGAACGAGTTATTGTATATAACTCAATTTCAAAACTAATATTTGAATATTTTCCTCGATTTACCTCCATTTTTAATTGGGCTTTCCCATTTCCATTACCTTACATGACAGAAATATAAAAAGTTTGTACATGGGGCAGGAAATGGAAAGAAGTGAGTTCGAGGCACCATCAAAAAATCCATTGCGCACATCCACAATTGGCCTGTGCATTGTGGGGCGAAAACATGTTATCACTCAACCTAGACTAAGAATCCAGAAGGACAAGCAAAAGACAACCCCCGATTTTCACAAAGACCGCCAGACACAATATCGAGTAACAAAATAGAATCATCAACAAAACAATCGGCTTCATCTCCATCTTGGGAGCCTCAATCAGTCCGCGACTCCACTAGCAAGATGTGCCTTGAATAGATCCTTGGTAGAGGCATAAAAAGTGGATGGCGTTGATCTTGAGCATCTCTGCGATCTCCTTCAATTTCGACGCGTTGTTAGCTTTCTAGAGACCCACACAGTAAAATAAAAAAGAGCATGCGGGAAAGACAAATTCAAATGGAGACTTGATCAATGTCTTCACATAGATTGCATTATTGCACGAGAGCCAGATGGCCCAACAAATATTAACCAAACCCACAATATAGAATTTCTCTCCGGCGGGAAAAACAAATGACACCATGCATAGAATTGCCAAATACTATTGGGACAACAGTCGGTGCTAAATATCAAACCTATTGTTCGCCAGACAATTCTAGCAACAGAACAAATAAAGAACAAGTGTTGTGCAGTTTGAATCTGATCACAAAACAAACAAATGGATTACCAGACCATTTTCCTTCCTCATAACTTCTCTAGTTTTTTTTAGCTGGGAACATAACTTCTCTAGTTAGCACAACCTTTTGAAGAAACTCATAAGAAAACCTGATCTTTAGCACCAGAAACATAATTTCCCAGCCGCTGGTACATCGACTTGGTGGTGAACTCACCTTTCTTGTTCATGAACTAGGAAATCTTACCAGGATCATCATTTCTAGGTATGGATGCAACTTCATCTGTCATCCCGGCCTCCCTCCACACCGCGTAAGTAAATCAGGTGACAAGACAATATGCGACGAAAAGCTAAAGTACGGTTATATTTTCCAAATCACCGACAGTACATTTCTATTCCTGGTTGTGACAAATATTATAAAGATCAGGATAATGTTCATTCAAATTATTTTTATTGCGAATGATAACATATTTCCATGACCCGCAAAAAAAGATAACATATTCCCATAATATAGCAATATCGCCTTTCTGCAGGAGAAGTCTACGCCTAATAATCGTACAAAAATCTTTAATTTCGTGATACAAGCGGGAATCAACAACCTAGTTTTTATCGATGTGATAATTTTTTATGTCTACAATATTTGGCTTTACTAATACGCAGCCAGATCGCCAGTCGAGCCTCAAGCTTTCACCACCATTTCAAAAGGAGAACAATATTTTATTTTCCAATATTCTTCGCACCCGAGCCTCCTTTTTTAGTAGAATCTATACACACCCTCGTCCATCAAACCATGCGATTCTTATTCCACATAAACTTTCTTCTATGTTTATCCCCTTTTTCCACAAGAGAGTAATTCATCACGAACATGGACATGTCATAGGACGTTAAGCGAGTCAAAACAGAATTAAACAAGCGAGCCAAAACGGAATTAAACAAGATGGTTCTAGGCTTCCAGCCATGTAGATAGTGTCAACGCTACGTGGTGATACATCATTTGCAGTTGACTGTTGACATATTCCTGTTTCAAGCAGAGACTATTCACATCGTGATACGATGAAGAACACATGACATTCGTCAAGAAATTAGTTGCTGAAATGACGAGCCGGCCCGGCCTTTGTGTCATTATAAAGTTGATGTAATGCAAAAGTTGAATGCAATGGTAGAACCGCGCCGATATATGATTCATCCAAGAAAAATAATTTGGTGAAAAAATTCTATATTATTATCTTTTGCATGATAATATGCATCCTTCTCATGCAGAGGACAGGGATGTCCTCCTTTTTCAAAAAAAATATGTGTCTCACTCATATTATAAAGATTATAGTACAAGTTAAGTAAAGACCATCTCGTAAAAGACCGATATGCCAAAAATAATTTGATAAAAATATTCTAAATATTTGCTCCATGGCTAATATACATAATCCCATCAAAAGCATATGTATTGTATAAAGAATCGGATTAAAATACACACGAGATTGTGTGCACGGTGCACCATTCGGCTCCATTCGGGCCGGAAAAAGGACAAGTAAGCAGAACGAACGAACAAACAAACGAATTGAGCAAATCATCGGTGATCGGACGCCGGCGGCCACTTCACGAGCTGCTCCTCTCCATGAAGGTGAGGAACTCCTGGAAGTCCATCCGGCCGTCCTTGTTCTCGTCATAGGCGTCGATCATGCGCTGGCATTCGGCAGCCGCGACGCCGGCGGTGAACCCGAGCGACCTCAGCACGCTCCGGAGCTCTCCGGCGTCGACGAACCCGTCGCCGTTGCGGTCGAAGACGCGGAACGCCGCCGCGGCCTCCTCCACGGTGGCCTCCTCCTCCTCGAACAGCGCCGCCGCGTCCTCGAACCCGACCGAGGCGGCGCCGCCCGCGCCCATCACCCCGAGAACCACGTCCAGGTCGACCTCCGAGGCGCCACTCGCCGGCGCAGGCTGCGCTGGCTCCGGCTCCGGCGCGGGGGCGGCCGAGCGGCGGCTGGCGGAGGAGGAGGAGGAGGTGGAGGACTTGACGAGGGCGGAGAGCCAGACGAGGACGAAGTTGATGGAGATGGTCACCACGGCCTGCGCCACGGAGAAGTTGAAGTAGGACGCTGCCGGCGCCGAGGAAGATGTCATCTCCATGTCCATGTCACTCTGTCTGTGCCTGTTTCCTCCGCTCTGGTTGCCTTGGTGCTTGCTTCTTGCTCGCCTCCGAGATGAGAATTGTCGCTGCGTGCTGGATGCTATTTGCCGAGCCGGAAGGCTTGCATATATAGTCCCGGGTAGCCTCGCGAGAAGGCGGGAAAGAAGTTGCAAGGGGGGACGGACGACGGCCGGGACTTGGGAAGAAAGCCGGGAGCGAGGAAGGTTCCCGGAAGCAGGGAGGCGTGGTGGAAACGCCGGACCGACCGAGCGGTCGCCGGTTCGTGCCTTGTTGTCGTGCGCGCGCGGGGGGGTTCGAGGGAGCTTCGCGGCGTGGAAACATGGGCGGGTCGACGTCGTCTGGTCATGGCGCACCGGCGACCCGACCGCATTCTCGGTTGGGGTTGGCGTTGGAATTCCACGCAGCCTCTCTCCTCTTTCCCTAGCACGTCGCTTTCGTCTCGTCTCTGGTGGATCCGCTCGTCTGCTACTCTTTCCGTTGTCGGGTTCCTCCTGGTTGATTTTTCTTTTTGCGACTGATTTTTGATTTGATTTCGATAGATATATGTAGGGTGGTGGACTGGACGCACGGACCTGGTGGTATACGTGTTCAAGAAAAAATAGACAAAGTGTGTGTGTGTGTGTGTGCGTGTGCGTGTGCGTGTGCGTGCGTGCGTGTGTGCGTGTGTGTGCGTGTGTGCGTGTGTGTGTGTGTGTGTGACCTGGTGGTATACGGCGACCGGCGTGAAGGAAGGTTGGTGAGTTGGCTGGCGAGCTCTTGACCCGATTTCGTGGTGGACTCGACCAACGGCGGAGCTTCGTGGGAGCGAACCTGGGCCCATTTATTACAGCCCATAAGGCCCATTTTGACGGAAGCTAGCCAAATCGGCTCGCTCACACAAACGTAGAAAAATCTGAAAACTGCGGGTAAGGAGACCAGTTGCCGAGGAACCAAATGCTTAGCTTCTTTGCTTTGCGAGGCAAGGCAAGAGCTTGCCCAGGAACCAAACGTGCTATAAGATTTCACGTTTGATCTGTGACAGCTGACGCATGAGAGTGGGGGTGGGGCACCGTACCGGCGGACTGGCCGGCGGCCGCTGTGGCTTGTCGGCGTGGAGGTTGGCCGCTGGCGGGCGAACGCCGAACGGCTAGGGATTGGTCGTTGCTGGTCAGAGACATCTCCGCTCCTATCTGCTGAGTCCTGACTTCTCATTGCTGCCGCACGGACGCAAACAGAATCAGGCAACACCGGCGCCGCGCGCAGTGCCGAAGTGAGCTGGTGAACAAATTGCTCTCGCTGGCTCTCTCTGTCTCCCCCCTCTACAAACTGTGGAAATTTAGAGTATTTTGATTCTGCATTTTCTTTCTTAGTTGGGGAAAATTCTAATTAGGTCATGGATTTTGTGCTGAATAGAAAATGTCCTTCACAGAAAAACGGTGAATACAATTCTTGAGGGAAAACAATTTATGTATTTTTCAAAAAAAAAGTGAGGCGATTCAGTTGAATGTAAAGTTGACGAACCAACACAAACAGAAGCAATACATGTTCAGCCTCCTCTGTTGTTGCTGGAATTTGAGCAACACGGACCACATCCTTCGATGCCGCCGCAACAATAAGGCCATCAGACAAATGAAGTCCTACTTTGAGGGATTGAATTTTTGCAGCGGGGTCCAACACTATGTGTCTACGTCCACAAATTTGACAATATCCAGGTAATCCAAGAGATGACTTGGGGCGAGCATATTTGAAGCTTTGTGCTATGCAGCCCGTTTGAGATTTCTTCGCCCCTCCTGAGATTTCTTTCAAGCTCCGCCACTGGACTCGACCAAACCAAGCAGTAGTGTAGGTCTTTGCGCCAGCAGACGTGAGAGAATGTTTTTTCTTAACACAATACAGACGCAAGCGCTCATACATACACGTATACACACATGTCTTATTCTTATGAGCATCTTCGAGAGACTGAGTTGGCATATCATCTTGAGACTTACGAAGTCATCGTAGGTGCCTCATAGTCGACGGAAACGTCTCCTCCCACTGAAAGCACATCGCCGAAAATCCTGAAATAAATCCAGAAATAATATGAGCACCGGGATTTGAACCCTGATCGGCTGGGTATACCATCCAACCACAAATTGATTCACAGACACGAGAGAATGCTTGATCGTGCTTCCACCACCGCCCACTATGACTGAGGTGTTTACACGCGACTGACGTGCTAATTATGTGTGCTAGCGGGTGCATATAGATCGATAGGCTAGATGAAAACATGGCAACAAAGGTTAGTTCGCACAAACCTTCCGGGACGGCATGTTTGTCTCACGCTCCTTTTCAGCATTTGTGTTTTAGAAATTTGAAATATGAAGCTATATTTATTTATTTTAAAACAAATAAAGGCCTCTGCGTCGATTAATGCACAAACATTGTCAAATACTACTATTATTATTTGTTAAAAATAACGGCCCAAATCAAAGCCGAGCAAACAGGCCAAAAAAATCACAATGGGCAATAGATTAGCTGGCGGTAAAATCTATGCATTCTATGAAAAGTCGGAAAACCTATGACAATGGACTATAGTCCAATGATTAAGGTAACAAATGGCATAAGATTCCAAGGCAATGTCTTCGAGAAGGAATCATCGCTCGCCCGACTGATTAACCAAATCCAAAGCACCGACCCCAAAGCAAAATTTTAAGCCAACACATTCAACAAATAATACAGCGTGAGCACATCTATCTATTGTGCCTAATCTAAGAAAAAGACTAAATCATGGTTCTTACCAAGAGAGAAATACAGCCTCGATCTCAATTGCCAACATTATAATCTATCTCTTCTCACACAAAACTAGCTAGCTAAAGGAGGTTTCATCGGAAGAGAAGATGTCATCATATCGCTTTCTGTCACTGTCGCACCACCGTCTCATTGGTGGTATCCATGAGTGCCATGGTAACACCTTGCAGCCCACGCCACTATATTGTCGCGCGTACGCCGCGACCAGCTTGAGTCTAGATCTGCACTCGCGATGGAGTCACATCTGGCCAACCGCCACAGTCAACACTCGTCAACATGCAGGTTTGTGGTTCCACGTGCAGCTGACCACCGTATCCACGCCATCATACCACCGAGCATTCAATGCTAGTGCGCAGTCGATACCATGCCTATGTGATAATTGGCATCATGTGACGCACCCGCACCTCCGTGATAATTGGCACCATGCGACACACATGCACCTCCTTGATAGTTGGCACCATGCTTCGGTGCCGCCTCTGCACCAATTAATTCTCAGGATTGAACCCTCACCTCTGTCGACGCCTAGTGGCCCCGCAAGACTCCGCATCTTCTGAGGAAAAAAGGGCCACCACAGCAAATGTCGCTTCAGCTTTTCCCAGAGGCGCCTCCAGATGACGGGGAGGAGAGAAGGGAGAAAGATGGGGTGATGGGGGCCAGCCCTAGTGTCGGTGTTCTAAGACCGGCAGTACCGTCAAGTGCCGACATATTTTTCCGAATGGGGTGAGAGTGGCGGATCGAGATTGTGGCAGAGGAGAGAAGCAGCTTACACATGTTCGGTCCCCTCCCCCGGTAGGTAACACCCTAATTTTGCCTATGATGGTTGTATTGCTCGAGTGCTCGTCGTTAATAGGGAAGATCGTCGAAGAGAGTTGTTTCTTGGATTACAAGTTCCTAGCCGCAGTGGCAGCTAAGGAAGAAGGTGTAGGTGCAAAACCCTATCACTTGAAGGCTCTCGGATGTGTTAGAACGCCTCCTGCCAGAAATGTCCCCGTCGCTTTATATAGCTGGTCGAGATAGGGTTACATGGCTCGGGTCGGCTAATAAGGTGGGCTTGTGTCATCGGATTGGCCCGGGCCATGTTGTACGCCGATGGACGTCTATTATCATGGCCTGTTGGATGGTGGGCCGGCCGGTTGGAGCCCTGGCCCGAGTGGTTGATTCGGCCCATCTAGAGATGGTGTGCCCGCCCCTTGCCTAGTTGGCAAGGCTCGGACGCCATATCCTCGTCAACTAGGGTTGTTTCACATGTTCTTGTTCTTCAAGAAAGGTGATGTTGAATAACCATTCAACTTTGCCTTTTTAATATCATATTCCTTATTCTTGTTCTCCAGGAAAGTTGAAAGTGAAAAGTGAAAAATGCTAACAGAAGAACGGAAAGAGAAGATGCAAACGAAACATCAATCAACCTGACTAACGTGTGGCTCGTGTGCGGCTTTATCTAGGCTTAAAGCAGGAAGAAAATAATTTCTTTTCAAGCAACGTGCATGGCTTTATCCTTTCATTAAATGAAAAGTGAATTGAGTAGTTAAAAATCGAGGACGTGAGTATCACTGGAAGTTTCTTTAAAAGGGCTATCACCTAAACAATACAAAAACAATTAAATAACGAGGGACTATGCACGTCATGAATAATTCATCTAACATGAATTTGTGTGCTACTGAACAAATCTCTTCAAGAGAGAGAGACCTCCATCCCTTGGCTCCGCATGGGCGACGCAAAACCTAGCCCATCGTGATGGCTCCCTTCCTCTTCTCCTCTCCCTCGCCGTCACCGGTGGGGGGTGCCGGAATGTCGTGTGGCCGCCGGGGATGGTGGCAGGGAGGATCTAGTTGCTTCATCCCCCGTGGAGGACTTCGGTTGGTGGTGGTTGATGTCTACTACACAACCTTCTTCTTGTAGACGTTGTTGGGCCTCCAAGTGCAGAGGTTTGTAGGACAGTAATAAATTTCCCCCAAGTGGATGACCTAAGGTTTTTCAATCCGTGGGAGGCATAGGATGAAGATGGTCTCTCTCAAACAACCCTAACTCTTAAGAACTCGTGAGATAAGTTAGTATAAATCAACGCAAAACCTTATCATTCTCTACTGTAGAAAATCACTAAAATGATAATTTGACATTGCGTACTAAATACCCCTGCATATTTAATACTCCTATCCTTAAATAGAATCATTAAACAAGTAAACATATGCAAACATAGCAGCAATCTGTCTAAACAGAA